GGCTATGTCCTTCTCGTATAACACACAAATGGGCTTCCTTTGTGAAATATAGCAGACCACCTTTTTTTAAACTGTTATTTAAGATATATTTGTGCACAAATGTTTGCATTCAAGTTTTTCATATAGTCAGTCCGACAGATAGATAGATAGATAGATAGATAGATAGATAGATAGATAGATAGATAGATAGATAGATAGATAGATAGATAGATAGATAGATAGATAGATAGATAGATAGATAGATAGATAGATAGATAGATAGATAGATAGATAGAACCTAATTGTAAGATATTGTAAGATATGCGCTCGTCTTCACAAAAACTACATGCAGGGTTTTTAAACATCTCGTGTGGAGAAAATATAGTTTATTCTGGGCAGTATGGCAAGCCATGGCAAAAAGCAGGCTAACTTGTAGGCTATAGCCTTGAAAGGAAAACACATTTGCCGAGTTAAAACAGAGTTTTTGTTGTTGAATCATATTTTTTCTAGTACATCTTAAAATATAGAGCTCATGACAAATAAAAGTTCCAGATGGACTAATATTGAATGCAAAAACTAACAATATCTTAAAAGAAACTATAGAGTGGCAAACTTTGAAGTAGGGTTCAAGTTTTAATTAGTTTTACAGCTTGAAATGTAAAGCTTGTTCTCATACACAGATATGGCCTATTTATGAATGAAATTCATGCTTTTATTTGTCATTTAAACTGATGCAAACAGGAAAAGAGTAGAAAGACGTATTATCCTGTCGCCCCCTCTAGTGGACAGCATTAAGTATTACGCCCATTGCTCAGATAACGCAAGTCAATGGATTTTTTTGGGAAAGTAAGTCTGACCAGTTAGAAAAAGATATAAGCGAGTCAGACCAGTCTGAAGGTCTGAGCTGAGTTTGGTGAAGCATTAAAGTTCTAGGCGGAGTCAATTTCTCATAATAATAATAATAACGTTTAAATATATGCTTTCTCAAGCCAACATAATAAACAGAACTCAGAGAAACATCGACCAATTCAGTATGTAATAAAATTGTATTAGTTTTATAATAAAACTAATAACATTTTAAAGGTATGCCGTGCTCTTCAACTGTCATGATTTTAATTAATCCCAAACCCTGCTAATTTTGAAAGTAGCCTAGCCTACGTTCTGTACGTTCACTGATTCTAGCTTCTCTCTTTTCTGTCTCTTTCTTTTCATGTGAACCGAGTAGGCTATAGCCTATGCTTACATTTATAAATATAAACTTTATTTCTATTCAATTTTCAAAATTATTTAGGCATATACTGTGCATGTCACACACACACCTTTTGATGTAAATAAAAGACGAGAGTGGTAAATGTTATGAACATATTATCATGTTACAGTTCAGCCTATTATTGATTTTTATTTCCACTTCCCTTTTATCCAAAGAGACGGAACTATTTGCACTGTATTTATCAATGGGAAATACGCATGCTAAAATAATCTGTCATATAGGTCTACTGTGGCTCACATTACTGAGGTCGCAGAGCCCCCATTACCAGCAACATTTCTGCTTCAAATATTGTGCGTAGTTAACAGTGAGTGGTGGTTTCAGACATTGTTTTATTAAAGTGCATTTATTAATACTCTTATTCTGCCCGACAGAAAGAAAAGCTTGTACTGAAGGCGGAGCGGTTTGACCAATCAGATGAAAGGGGCGTTTCAGCGCCGCCCACGTGTGCAAATAAAATATCGAACCCAAACCGATTTGTAAATCACAAACGAAAAATGAAAAATCGAGCCAAAATCTAATTTTTCGTTTTTTAAACTAAACAAAAAAACGAATAAACGAGCTGGATTTCATTTCTCGTTATTCCATTCCAAACAGGAAATCAAATGACCAAAAGATACACGGACCTGTCAGTCTGTCAATTGACAAGCGAGGCAGCGTCGGCATTATGGTCTATTTTTTTTTTTAAACAGCGTGATGGTGTGTTGTGTAATACACGGCTGTTCTAACAACAGCAATAAGAACCCCGGAGTTAGTTTTTATGCGATAAGTTACCGACTGTCAGAAAACTTGAAGGGAAGGAGAGAGTTGAGCCAGCGCAGGAGAGGCTAGCTAGGATAAATAGGCTAAAGTTTCAGCCAACTCCCAACAGAAAAGTCTGTTCCCATCATTTTACCACAGGTTTCACACATAATCCGTGTGCAATGCGTGTGCGGTGCGTATACGGGACAGAAGCAGGACGCGCAATACTTATATGCTGCGTTTGCAGTGCGTCACTGATCCGCGGCTGTACCACAAACACCCCGGTGCTCACTATTTTTATTTTAACACATACTCACTATTTCAACAACGTAAGCCAATTATTCCATGCATTACTTCTATATATTAAGTTGCTCAAGCAAGTGGTCAAATATGTAACCATGTACTTATATTAAAATCGCAAACATTTTAAATGAAAACTTAAAATTGACAAAAACAACCGACTCATGCCTTTTCTTTTGTATTTACATTTTAATACAACAAATCTTGCATGTCACAAAGAACTTGTTTTTCCACCTCCACGAATGAGACGAGTGTCGTTCATTATCTTTCCTTGTTGAGGTAAATTGTAGTTTGTATACGTTACGGATCCTGTACGAGATAGTTATAAATATCCGGATAAGTTACGGCTGGCAATACGGACGGATCTTTATTTACATTTACATTACATTACATTTATTCATTTAGCAGACGCTTTTATCCAGTGGCGTCATGCCCATTCAAAGTGAGGGGGCACGTGCCCCCTCAGATTTTTCCTCCCTGATAATTTTTTATTTCTTCAGTCTTGTTATAATCAGATTCAGCGCGTTGTTCATCTTCAATCCGCAGCGGTGCAGAGCAGAGCGCACGTCAGAAACAGAGGGGTGTGTGTGTGTGTGCGTGCGTGTTCATCTGAGCCTCATTGGTCTGTCACTGCTCGTCAATGTCAGAATATTTGAGATGACCAATCAAATCAAAGTAGGCGGGCTTTATGTTCACAGAAGCTGAGCGCGAATTTTAGCAGTGAGACTCGACGCTTCAGTGTACAGTCAAGTGCGAGATGTAAGTAGCTAAACTAAACATTTCATATTTGACAGTTTTTTTAGTTCATAAATGTTAAACGAAGGACAAAAATAATCAGGCACACGAATATGCTTTTGTCTAATTTCGCCATTTTGAGCTGAAAATAGGCCTATGTAACATGACTCGTAATGTAGGCTAATAATTAGTTTACTGTCATTGTGAGGGGAAAAGACGTTTTCATTGTTAGGCACAAGATTAATAATGAATGTGTACATATTGAGAATTAATATAGTACAATTTGTAGCCTTAAGTAAATTAAAAAAGCTCAGCTTTAGGAGGGGAAGGCAAGATCAGGAGACTGAGAGAAAAAGAAAGAGTGATGGATAAGAAGTGAGAGCAGGTATTGACAAATAATCTGCCCACTGACATGGTTTTAAAGCTATTTCTTATCCTTTTTTTGGCCTTCAAACGTCTTGAAATGCACATATCAGAGAAATAAAAAATTTGAACCCCCTACCCACCTCAAATTTAGGACCTCTGTTATTATAAAGCCCTGTCTACGGCCCTGTATTAGGCATAAGATCAATAATGAATGTGTACTGTGAATGAATTTAATAAACTTAGTTAGGCTACCTAGCTTTCCTAGTAGCTTTCAGTAAATAAATTCGTCTGAGAAAATGATTCATAAATCAACCTATCAGTTGACCCTATGTTTACTTTCTTCACTGACAGACAAAAATGAAAAGCCTATCAGTCAAAGCTCAACTTTAGGAGTTTTTTTGGCCTTCAAAACATCTTATAATGCACATATAAGATACACATATACTTTAACTTAGTCCTCAGATAGAGGAGGGTTGCTGCTAGCTCCGTTAAGGTATTTCTGTCCCTCCCAAACTGCATTGAAATAGTATGTTTCGCAGCCAGAATTAAAAAAATTTCAGGGGGAAAAAACCCCTGACCCCTCCTAACATGATCCATATCACCCATCAGAAAACAATTGCAACGTCTCAGATTGTGCCCCCCCAGAATTTTGGCTTGCATGACGCCCCTGCTTTTATCCAAAGCGACTTACAAATGAGAACAATAGAAGCAGTTAAACTAACAGTAGGACAACAATACGTAAGTGCTATAACCCCTCTCAGTTCAATTTTAGTGCAGTTTTTTTTTTTTTTTTTTTTTTTTTTTTTTTTTGAATAGAAGAGAAGAGAAAGTGTTAATTCTACTGAATCAAGTGCTGCCGAAAAAGATATGTCTTCAGCAGTTTCTTGAAAGTGGCTACTGACTCAGAAGCTCTGGTTGAGTTAGGCAGATCATTCCACCAACAGGGAACAGCCATGGTAAAGGTCCGAGAAAGGGACCTTTTTATTTTTTTTTATTACTCGTATTTAAGCTTGATTGGTGTGGACCCACATAAAATAATAGCATTATCTTCTCTTGATACCGACGAGATGAAGCCAGGCTACTGCTCCCCTCAACTCAAATCTGCGCGCGGTTAGGGGCAGCAGGACAGATGTCATGTCAACAATATGGCCGCGGCTAGCTACTTCCGGTGTTTGCGAATAAGGTCTATAACTAACTAACAATAACTAATCTTTGTTACGCAAAGAGCAAACACTCCTGAATTCATAACTTGTTATAAATCAGATTTAGAAGTAAATTTTTTTATTACTCGTTTTTCTTTTTTTTTAGGTTAAGGTCAAGCTTACACTATAAAAAATGTCTAGCCTCCCCAACTCAAAAATTTCTAGTGACTGGTCACAATCTATATTTTTCAATTGTCAAATTTAATTTTATCAATTTGCAGAATTTCACTTGGGCTAATTAAATTTTTTTTAGATGTGACCAGTCACTAGAAATTTTTGAGTTGGGGACATTAGAATTTTTTTAGAGATATGATTGCTTGATAAGAATATTGTTCCAGAACTAACATCCAGGAACATCTACACGGCTTCATCAGGTATTGATGTGATGTTGCTGGTGAAGAGAGCCTCACCTCAGCTTGGCACTATCCGGATCATGAGCGATATCCGAGACCAGCACAGTACCGGGAGCAACAGACTCCGGGACAGTGACTTTAATGGGGTTTTTGTAGAAGATCGGGGCCTCGTTTTCATTCATGACTCTGACGGTGACCGTAGCGCTGTGTGTCTGTTCGTATGGGGCTTTAAGCCGGACTTCATTCTCTGCTGTTACAACCAGCTCATATTCTGCCTGAGACTCATAATCCAGCGGCTGCAAGAGAGCAGAGACATTGAATTTGAAATGTATGTGCAAATTATGCATACAGACACATTCACACACTGAATGGAGATGGAAAAGGAGGAATAAATACTCAAATAGAACCTCAAATCCTTTAATGTTGATTCCTGACCTTACAGGTGAAACTCGAAAAATTAGAATATCGTGCAAAAGGTTTTCATAAGCTGTAAGCCATAATCATCAAAATTATGAAGAACTGATCACTGAAAGGTTCGAACCCAGAATGGCTCTTTTGCTGTGAAACCCCTGTATTTGTAAGCGTGTCTGATGATCCACAGACGCCACAGTCTTCATTGGTGTCAGTAATCTCACCTTAACCACAGAAATTATGCCTTGGTTGGAGACTGGGTCTGTGCGGATGGCAAAGTTTCCGAAAGTATTTCCCTTTCCGATGGTGTACTTAATCCTCCAGTTATCTCCCCCTCTCTGGTCTTTATCTGTGGCGTTGATCCGGCCCACCTCCGCCAGATGCTTGTTCTCCATTGCATTCATGTTGTACTGCAGTCAGAAAAGTGGAAGAACAGTTTAGAAAACAGATCGGATGAACATCACAGACTGTGCAAAAAAAAGAAAAGAAAAGATTTCTCCTAAAGTTATTACACTTTTAAGGATTTTTTTTAGGATGCTTCTGTAATACCCTTTTCCTATCTGTAGTTAAGATACGATTATGCACTGTAATTTTGTAATAGCTTTTGTCCTAAATGAGGTCCTTTCTGAAATTGCCTTGGTTAGCAAACATTAAAGGGTTAGTTCACCCTAAAAATGAAAATGATGTCATTAATGACTCGCCCTCATGTCGTCCCAAGCCCGTCAGACCTCCGTTCATCTTCAGGACACAGTTTAAGATATTTTAGATTTAGTCCGAGAGCTTTCTGTCCCTCCATTGTAAATGTATGTACGGTATACTGTCCTTGTCCAGAAAGGAAATAAAGACATCATCAAAGTAGTCCATGTGACATCAGTGGGTTAGTTAGAGTGTGTTGAAGCATCGAAAATACATTTTGCTCCAAAAATAACAAAAACTACGACTTTATAGAATGTCAGAACACAATACAATGCTGAAAAAAGTCGTAGTTTTTGTTATTTTTGGAGCAAAATGTATTTTCGATGCTTCAACACACTCTAACTAACCCACTGATGTCACATGGACTACTTTGATGATGTCTTTATTTCCTTTCTGGACAAGGACAGTATACCGTACATACATTTACAATGGAGGGACAGAAAGCTCTCGGACTAAATCTAAAATATCTTAAACTGTGTCCTGAAGATGAACGGAGGTCTGACGGGCTTGGAGCGACATGAGGGAGAGTCATTAATGACATCATTTTCATTTTTGGGTGAACTAACCCTTTAAGATAGGATTCTAAAGTTAGGATCTTTCTGTAATTGAACATCACAGACTGCATGTTTGCAAGCGCTCTCATACCACGGTGGGCTGGAATCTGGGAGCGTGGTTGTTAATGTCAGCGATGTGAATGATGGCTCGACCAGCGGAGGCTAGACCCATTCCTGACATATCAGCGACCTGCAGATGAAGCCTGAAGGACTGCACCACCTGACGACACAACAGGGGCATGTTCATGCTGTTTGCTTCACACTTTCAAAGGATTCTGTGCTGTTTAGGGGTGTATCGTGCCACAATATATCACAATGCAAACATGCAATAATATGTACTGTGGATAGTTCACCCAAAATAAAAATTACCGTGTGAGAAACAAATTCAAGTTTACAGAGTTTTAGTGTTAATGTTGTTGAATTTAATGTATAATAATGCAATGAGGGAATATTTGTGTGTCCTGATAATGCCAAATGTCTGAAGTTACCAGTAAAAAGTGCCCGACATTATTTTATTATAAATATATCTAGTCAGTGAAAGAGTGCAAGCTTATTCGTCTAAAATAATTCTGTATTTTCAGCTTCAGAATCATGAATATTGTTATTCTGGTGTTTGTCCTGTGCTTTGGGTTTCAGCACCAAGTCCACGAATATTCATTTACACACACAATGTAATACCAAATTTAGCATTAACGGTGCATATGTCTTGGAGTATCGCCATAATATCGTATCGTGAGTTCAGTATCGTGATATGTATCGAGTCGTAACATGAGGGCATCGATACACCCCTAATGCTGTTCATTTATAAGAGACAGAAATAATAACCCACATCTCTGTCTAGTCCCACATCTCGTATGTAGATGACTCCAGTCGTGTTGTTAATGCCGAACATGGTCTTGTTAACGCTGTGAGGAGGAATACTCTCTTGCGCGGTGATGGAGAAGCTCAGAGCTGCGTTCTCCGTCAGTGGATCGTCCGAATCTTCGGCTGTAACCTGCATCACTGAAGTTCCTGATCACAGACCAACACAGAACAAGGTCAACACTGGTGTCATGTTTGACCAAAAATGTGTACGTTTAGTTTTCGAACTTGCTGTGTGAACAAAAATAATGGACATGATTGGAACAGGTTAAATGGTCCTGAAAAAAATAGTCACACTTGTATTTTTTGTGGTCAGAAATGAGCGCATTGGAAATGAATGGGAGACGAATTTCCTCTAGTGGAAGCGTTTGGTACTGCGCACAAACAAAATCTCACTAAAAGCTCATTTTTTGAGATATCAAGCTCAAATTTGGAACACAACTTTGATTTTCTCACGGTTTTAATGTAAAACATGTTTTTGGAAAATATATAACATATAAAATTTAAAATGGTATTTTTGTGCATTTTTCATAACAATAAATGTAACATTTTATGACTTTTTTCAAGTTCACTTTTATCAACTTTTTTCACTTCAGCAATAATTCGCCATGAGTTGTCTTTAAAAAGAGACCAAACTTCAGTCTGTCGCTTGAAAGCAATCCAGATTTATGACAGTTTAAGTCGGAAATTTCATTTTCAGGGCTATGCTCAAAAAGTGAATAAATGGATTATTACTACTGCATAAATATAATTCAGTACCATAAAATCTAAATATTATCGAACTACAACATTGTACAATCATTTTATTAAAAATTGGTCTGTATGACTTGTGTGTCATAGTCCATAAAAGTATCTGCCAAATGCGTAAATGTAAATGTAATTTATCTAAATGGTTATTATGGCCCTGCTAGCAAATCTATTAGCAAAATAAAGCACTTAAAGAGAGTAGACTTTCCTGACTGTTTCTTAACACACTTAAGTACACTTTTAAAGTGCACTTTGTAATAACGTCAACATTTTAAATGATTGTTTTAATAACTGTGGAAACCTTATTTAAAACACAATATAAATAATTATGAAAGTACAGTACTTAAGTGAGTCAAAAACACTCTTATGTTCAACTGATTGCATTGAATTGGAATGTAAACCTTAATACATTTTCATATAATTGTAGTTAAGTGTCCGAACAAATCACATTCAGTTTTCAATAAAGTATATTCTTTTTAACGCATATCACTTCCGTTATAAATACAGTTTTTTTTAAAGTATGCTGAAGTGCGAAGAAGATTTGTATAATATCTAACATGAACGTGGAACATGGAAATGAACAGCCTAGACATTGTGCTAAATAACTTGATTTGAGGATAAAAATCCAACACTGGTTTAAGGTAAATTTTTGTATGAACTATGATTTTTTTTTTTTTTTGAAAATATTTATTTACATATTTTGTTACATTTTATTGTACACGTTACCTGGAACTGAGAACTCAGGGATGGTGCCGATGAACTCTTTCTGGGTGAATTCAGGCCTGTGGTCATTCTGATCGAGAACGTAGATCTCAATGGTTGTGGGACTTTCCAGTCGCTCTCCGCTTGGTGAGAGAGCAAAGGCTTTGAGCTGAGGATATTACACACACATAGAGTTATTCAGAGATATCACAAGATTCATCCAGCTAATGCCAGGTATCATGTAAATTTCCTGCACCTGTTAGACATCCAAATGAGGTCCAAAAAAATTACCCAGTTCAAAGGTCAAATGTTGAACGTCAATATGTCGTCTAAGTTGGGTCATGGTTGGACGTCCAAAAAGTGGACCTAGTTTGGACTTCGAATAGATGTCCAGAATTGGTCATAGACCGACGGACCCAATATAGACATGATCTGCACGTCTATCCGACCTCCAATGTTTAGTGGGCAATGTAAATCTCTAATCTCATTTAAAGCTGCTGTAGGTAACTTTTAAAAAAATGTATTTGCTAAAACTGTCATTATGTCCTGACAGTAGAATATGAGACAGATAATCTGTGTAAAAATCAAGCTCCTCTGGCTCCTCCTAGTGGTCCTATTGCCATTTGCAATAAATACACGCTCCCGGTCAGAAACAACCAATCAGAGCCAGGAGGAATGTCTTAGCAGTGTCAATCACGCTCGTGTACGCGCTGACCACACCCCTCTCTTGCACAGAGCGAGCCGTCGTTCAAACTCAAGATTGCCGGCGTGCTGCAGCTGTGCTTATGACGGAGAAACAACCTAAACTGCCAATTCTCGAGTGACACCTGCTCATAAAACAAAGAGGTAAAAGGAAAAAGACTGATGACGATAAACAAGCGAAAAAGAAAGAATTACACAGAGCCCATTGACTCGGTGTCAAAACTCTAGCCGCATAACATGTAGATAAAATGTCACGCACTCTGCTAAGCAACAATTGAAACCTGCTAATTCACTGGCTTGTCATGTTGCTGAAATAATGTACTAGCACACCTTATCTAGCATTATATATCGCTAGAATAATTACTTACATACTGTAACGTTAGTTACCGTTATATTAACGTTATCTTAGCTATTTATAACTTATAGAAAGAGTGCAACGTTATAAAGTTTCATGTAGGCTATTGCAAACTACATAATGATTTGAGGACCAAGTTTGTAGTCAAAGTATGGGCAGGCCATAGTCAATGTAAAGCATATTATTGACGTATAGTCCCTATTAGTGAATGTGCCATATAACTTTTTATCCGCTGTTATCGGTGGCCCTGTTTACTAGCCTGCGTGTTCACGACGGGCTCCGCTGTAGGGAGGGCTGTAGCGCAGCAGAGAGCAAGGGGGTGGGACCTGTAAGTTGTGCTTGTTCAAATTTTCAGGCTAAGTCAACGTTTTCTCAAAACTCCCTACTGCAGCTTTAAATCTGAAAAAAAAAACAGAAAGAAAGAAAGGGACTACATCTACACTCTAAAAAATGCTGGGTTAAAAACAACCCAAGTTGGGTTGAAAATGGACAAACCCAGCGAATGGGTTGTTTTAACTCAGCGGTTGGGTTAAACGTTTGTCCAACCTGCTGTGTAGTTTTATTTAACTATTGTTTAAAAATGACTGTATTGTTTGCTTAAAATTAACCCGAAGTATGTTGAAAATGAACATTTATTAATAGGTTTAATAAATGAACATTTATTAATAAGTTTGATGATTAATAATTAAACAATAAACATTTATTTAAATGCTTATTAATAAATGTTCACCTTTTGATTATTATTGTTGCATCTAGTTATTATATGTGTCTGATTTTTAATTTCTAACCTATTTTTGGTTCATTTTAAGCTAGTAATTTTTAAACGATAGTTGGGTTAAAAAAAACTGTCCGGCAAGTTGGGCAAACATTTAACCCAACCGCTGGGTTAAAACAACCGAATCACTGAGTTTGTCCATTTTTTAACCCAACTTGGGTTGTTTTTAACACAGCATTTTTTAGAGTGTAGAATTCAGAAACCCTTGTTATTAGCGACACCGGTGGCCGTTCAGTGAACTGCATCTGTGGGTTATTTCTCCAGCTCGCATTACACATGAAACTGAACGTGATTCAAAGCCCTCGTTTACTCACAGCGGAGATGTTTTAGCTCTTTGCTAAGAAGAAGTTGGAAATACCTTTGCAGTGATAGACTGGTAGCGAACATCCCGAGCGACGTTTAGAATAGACGAATATGTAAATATTTGCTTAGTCTCAATAACAAAATAAACACAATAGCGGTGAGAAATCAGCAGTTCAGAAAGCATCTGATCATAGAGATGTGGATGTTTGAACCAGCTCTGAGATTCATCATGTCGACAGATGAGGTTATTAAAGTTACACTCACTGTTATGATAGTTTGATTATAAAGTATATCTGAGACTATAGATTATAACGATCTGACTGTGTGAGATTGTAGTTCCCTTTGATGAATCCCTTTTCTTTGCATTACACATGGACATTACAGTACAGAACAGCTCTTTTGTCATTATCCTGAATTTAACGTGCGTAAACGTCACATCCTTTGGATCTTCCCAGGAAAACGTCCCGAGTCTACAGGCTTTAGGCAACCTAGGAAGTCTCATTTTTTAAATTTCGTTACAAGCTGTTCACACACAGGCAATAAAACTTAGACTTTTAGATGAAAATGTTTATTAGGGATGCACCCATATCAAAATTTTGGCCGATACCGATAACCGATAATTCTTTATATTTGAAAGCCGATAACCGATATATTGGCCGATAAATCTAAATCCAAATTTTATATAATTTTTGAGAGCCTGATTACAAAAACAAAAGTCTCACCATTAAAGCCATGTCCCAAACACACAATTATAATGTTATGATAATTTCATGCAGCCGATATGACAGACTTGTGTTGCACATGTTGTACTGAACTGAATTTTCCTCTTTTTGAAGTGATTTCAATCATATTTCAAACAAATAAAAACCATCATGGTGAACAGTTGTGCATTTAAAGTGTCTCAGCTGAAGGAAATAATACATTGTTCATGAGCTTTTATATATCAGCCACATTGTCTTATCAGGCTGATAACGATAACATTAAAAATAAACGATATCGATATATCGTGCATTCCTAAAAAACAGTTTCAACAAACAAGTTTACCTTAAAACTCTTGTGTTTTTCCCTGTCCAGTGGCACTTTGCTCTTGATCCATCCTGTTTTATCATCAATTTCGAAGAGGCCTTTGGGGTCCTGGTCAACGCCGGGTCCCTCCAGCTTGTATATCACCTCTCCGGTGAAAACCTTGTCGGATTTAATCTGCACGAGTGGACAGGAACGTGTTAAAGCCGTATGGCACACAGTCGATCTGCTGAGGATAGCGCTTATAATCGATATATAGACTACCATGTGTGTATGTAACCAAATGCTTTGTTTGGACGGTTTACGTGAATGCAGTTTTAAAATGGAGCAACATGTCCTGTGGTGCATTTAGGAACTACATTTCATAGCATCTATATCAATTCAGTTATAAATTATACTGTGTTCCAACTTTTTGTTGTATGTAGTGTGTCTGTTGATGCTGTCAATCTATTTCAGATTCATTACTGGCTAGTTATATTTAAAAAAAACCCATTGAAATTCAATTGATGGAAGCTTCTTTCCACCACAGAATAAAACATTTTAAAAGATAATTGCTTTTTATCTCACAATTGTGAGATATTAAGTCAGAATTGTGTTATAAAGTCAGAATTGTGAGATATTAAGTCAGAATTGTGTTATAAAGTCAGAATTGAGAGATATAAAGTCAGAATTATGTTATAAAGTCAGAATTGTGTTATAAAGTCAGAATTGTGTTATAAAGTCAGAATTGTGTTATAAAGTCAGAATTGTGTTATAAAGTCAGAATTGAGAGATATAAAGTCAGAATTGTGTTATAAAGTCAGAATTGTGTTATAAAGTCAGAATTGAGAGATATAAAGTCAGAATTGTGTTATAAAGTCAGAATTGCGTGATATAAAGTCAGAATTGCGAGATAAAAACTCTCAACTCTCAATTTAAAATCACGAAATTCTGACTTTATAACACAATTCTGACTTTATAACACAATTCTGACTTTATATCTCTCAATTCTGACTTTATAACACAATTCTGACTTTATATCTCTCAATTCTGACTTTATAACACAATTCTGACTTTATATCTCGCAATTGTGACTTTATATCTCTCAATTCTGACTTTATAACACAATTGTGACTTTATATCTTGCAATTCTGACTTTATATGTCTCAATTCTGACTTTATATCTCACAATTCTGACTTTATATCTCACAATTCTGACATTATAACACAATTGTGACTTTATATCTTGCAATTGTGACTTTATATCTCTCAATTCTGACTTTATAACACAATTGTGACTTTATATCTTGCAATTCTGACTTTATATCTCACAATTCTGACTTTATATCTCACAATTCTGACTTTATAACACAATTCTGACTTTATATCTCACAATTGTGACTTTATATCTCGCAATTCTGACTTTATATCTCACAATTCTGACTTTATATCTCACAATTCTGACTTTATATCTCACAATTCTGACATTATAACACAATTGTGACTTTATATCTTGCAATTGTGACTTTATATCTCTCAATTCTGACTTTATAACACAATTGTGACTTTATATCTTGCAATTGTGACTTTATATCTCTCAATTCTGACTTTATAACACAATTGTGACTTTATATCTCTCAATTCTGACTTTATATCTCACAATTCTGACTTTATATCTCACAATTCTGACTTTATAACACAATTCTGACTTTATATCTCCCAATTCTGACTTTATATCTCCCAATTCTGACTTTATAACACAATTCTGACTTTATATCTCACAATTGTGACTTTATATATCCCAATTCTGACTTTATATCTCCCAATTCTGACTTTATATCTCCCAATTCTGACTTTATAACACAATTCTTACTTTATATCTCACAATTGTGACTTTATATCTCACAATTCTGACTTTATATCTCACAATTGTGACTTTATATCTCCCAATTCTGACTTTATATCTCGCAATTCTGACTTTATATCTCACAATTCTGACTTTATATCTCCCAATTCTGACTTTATATCTCACAATTCTGACTTTATAACACAATTCTGACTTTATATCTCACAATTCTGACTTTATATCTCACAATTCTGACTTTATAACACAATTCTGACTTTATATCTCACAATTGTGACTTTATATCTTGCAATTCTGACTTTATATCTCACAATTCTGACTTTATATCTCACAATTCTGACTTTATATCTCACAATTCTGACTTTATATCTCCCAATTCTGACTTTATAACACAATTCTGACTTTATATCTCACAATTGTGACTTTATATCTCACAATTGTGACTTTATATCTCTCAATTCTGACTTTATAACACAATTCTGACTTTATATAACACAATTCTGACTTTATATCTCACAATTCTGACTTTATATCTCACAATTCTGACTTTATATCACACAATTCTGACTTTATATCTCACAATTCTGACTTTATATATCACAATTGTGACTTTATATATCACAATTGTGACTTTATATCTCACAATTCTGACTTTATATCTCACAATTCTGACTTTATATATCACAATTCTGACTTTATATATCACAATTGTGACTTTATATATCACAATTGTGACTTTATATCACACAATTCTGACTTTATATCTCACAATTCTGACTTTATATATCACAATTGTGACTTTACATCTCGCAATTCTGACTTTATAACACAATTGTGACTTTATAACACAATTGTGACTTTATATCTCACAATTCTGACTTTATATCTCACAATTCTGACTTTATATATCACAATTGTGACTTTATATATCACAATTCTGACTTTATATCACACAATTCTGACTTTATATCTCACAATTCTGACTTTATATATCACAATTGTGACTTTATATCTCGCAATTCTGACTTTATATCTCTCAATTCTGACTTTATAACACAATTCTGACTTTATATCTCTCAATTCTGACTTTATATCTCACAATTCTGACTTTATATCTTGCAATTCTGACTTTATATCTCACAATTCTGACTTTGTATCTCTCAATTCTGACTTTATATCACAATTGTGACTTTATATCTTGCAATTCTGACTTTATATCTCACAATTCTGACTTTATATCTCTCAATTCTGACTTTATAACACAATTCTGACTTTATATCTCTCAATTCTGACTTTATATCTCACAATTCTGACTTGCTGAAACAATTCTGAAAGTTGCAATTACATTTTTTATTCTGTGGCGGAAACAAGCTTCAATATCAATTAGTGTGAACTTGTGAAGTGTGTTTTCAGGTCTCCAGTGAGGAACGAGGGCTGCTGGTTTACCTGGACCAGATCTTCAGGGAGCTGTTTGCTGTTTTCTGAGACTCGGATGGGTGGGATGACCCAGTCTCTCTTCACCCTGACCAGTGGACCAGCGCTCCTGAGTCTCCATGGGTTCAGATCACTCGACTTCACCTGTGACAAAACACACACAGCGATCAGACTCTGGAGGCTCTTCAGTGACACACACACACACACACACACACACACACACACACACACACAAACACACACAGTATACAGCAGCTTTAAGGGCCTGTTAACACGACACCGTTTTCATCTAAACATGGAAAACTAGTTGTAACACACATGTTTTAAATACTTTCACACAGGCCAGCATGATGAAACCCATACTTAACATGGAAAACTAGTTGTAACACACTTGTTTCACGAGTTTGTGTGCCCATATAATCTTAGCGTACGTGGTAAACAGATTTGGCGTGCTGTGTGCTATAGAGGGTCTCAGAGATGATATTCAACTAAACACAGAAAACTGGTGCGTTTTGACCACTCATTTACCTGACAACAGCATTTCGGGGACCTCAACACGGATTTCAAAGGGTATGTTTTAACACGACACCGATGTACTAAAAACGGAAACGTTTTTCCTTTTTCACGTTCAGGCGACAGCGCTGTCAAAACGATCCCTATCCAAACGAATGCGTAAAAACAACTAAAAACTTTGTATTCTGCTGTCAGGCCAGTAGATGGCGATGTCACTTTGTAAAGAAACACTGTGCGCCTATAGGGCGGCACGATTAATCGAAATGAAACCGGACGTGATTTGGTAAAGGCTGCGATTATTTTATGTGCAGCTTGTCAGTGAAGCACGGCTCTGTGATCAGCAGTAAATGCTTCTCCATCTGAACACCAGAGGGCGTCTCACAAACACACACACACACACACACGCCAAATATGCCCTTCAGAAGTACGACGACATAGGAAAATGTTTTATTCATCAAACTAAATGGAGTAACTCAAAACCCAATTTTGCTCATTTTAAAACAGCCTTTAAAATGTATTTTGAATCTGTAAAGTATTTTAAAAAATCGAAAATCCCAAAGCACTGTATCTCTGCTAAATGAATTTATTTAAAATTTAAAATTCTTTTTATTTAAATTATTGTTATGTTTCAATTTAAACTTACAAAATGTGAAAATGTGTAAAAGAAATGTGTCAATAACTTGCTATTGAATTTTGTAAATTTGAAAGTTCCCTATGGGCATCATGCATGCTATCACTGTATCTGAATAAACAGAAAATTGAAATGCTTTGAAACATCACTAATAAACACACAACTACGTATGTGTTTTATCTGAGTTCTTCAAGCCTTTTTGGGAAAGATCGCGTGTTGATTTTTTTAAATGCACATGTTAAGCGACTCGAACACACAGTGCTTTTGTTTCCAAAAACATGCATTTTTAAACATGTTTTAAAAGTTTGCATTTTCAGGCCACCAAAACATTGTTGTCGTGTAAACGAACGGCCAAAATGCATAAAACGTTTTCCATTTTTTGTTTAAAAAAGGAGACTTTGAAAAAAGTGCACTTTGTAACAATGTCAAATTAAAAGTTTTACTTTAAAGTACATTTTAAACGATTGTTTCAATAATCTAAAAGACTATTTTTGATTTGTTGACTAACAAACTTAAATACATGTAAAATACTTTATTATAATTTTAACTTTAGTTTTATTTGATGGTACATTTAAAGTTAATATATTTTAAATGTGCCACATTTGTAATTACAAATATATTTAAATACATGACATATAAGTCTCAAAAGAAATGACATTAAAGTATTTTTTAGTATAAATGCTTGTCAGAGCATTCAACATTTCAACTTTATTTCAAAGACAACAGAAGTAATAATTAAATTACATATAAAGATATACTTAAGTCCTTCTCAAAAAAGTTCACTTAATTGTGTATCATTTAATATTAATTTATTTTATTCATTTTCAATGGTAAATAACATGCAGATAAGTGTATGAGAATATTACATTCAGCACACACACACACACACACACACAGCTGTTCAGTGGGGAAACAGGCTCCGTTTTGTCCACCCATGGCCTGTCGGCTGTCGCTCTGAAACACGTTCTGGTTTACTGCACCTGACAGAGGTCAGAGGTCAGAGGTCAGGGGTCAGCTGCTAAACATGCTTTAGTGACAAAATTCCACACGCGGTGACAGAATTCTCACACACACACCGACACAATGTGTGCAAACAGTAAAACATTCTCACCGTGGACCAAGACTGATTTATGAAACTACAAGGACTTGTAGTGTACTTAAGAAATATATTTGAAAACATATGAAAACATAACATTATATGAAAACCCCAAATTCAAAATTAGAATATTGTGAAAAGGTTTTCATAAGCTGTAAGCCAATCATCACAATTATAACAAATAAAGGCTTGAAATATCTCACTTTGCATGTAATGAGTTTATATAATATATTAGTTTCACCTTTTAAGTTGAATTACTGACATAAATGAACTTTTGCACGATATTCTAATTTTCCGAGTTTCACCTGTAGTTTAGCAATATCACCAGAGCAAGAGTGTTATTTTTTGTATGTGATAGAAAATGTGATATTGATTTTATACAACATTTCAATAAACCAGATTGATTTACATTTTAGACACAATATTGTCTGTTTTTGCTCAATTTCGTTCTAGAACTGATGTCTCTGAGCGACACACAGCCGTGTTTCATCACTGAACGAATCAAGTGAGTCATCGATTCAGTGACTCGTTCATAAAGACGGCCACTTGCCTCGTTCCTGAATGAATCAGCCGTTTGAACGAATTGGCTGAATAAATGATTCAATGACTCACTCATTAAGACCGAGACTTGCCGCAACCGAATAGCAGTTTCAGTTTCATACAGAGTATAATTTAATTTTTCATGTTTATAGCGTTCATCAGCTGGAAAAAATAAATCTAGAGTGATTCCAACGATATTGTTTCTCTGTGCCGTTATCGTTATGATTGTGTTGTAGACTCTTTTATTATTTTATTATATTTAGAATGATTTTAGGACTATACCTTTATCTCTATATTCATCATCCTTGATGTGTTTCTTTACAAAAGTAAATTAAGAAATGATGTTTACTTTATAATTCAGTAAAACGACATGTTATTACGAATATTATTGTTACTTGTTCATCATTGTATCAGTGATTTATTCGCAGACTTTAGCAGCTTCTTTTCACGAAGAAAAACAGTGACGAAACGCGTTTGTCCGTTCAGGGCCACCGTAGTTAGAAGTTACGGTGGCCGACAGGAAGTGATGTCGTCGTCTGAGACAGCAGAGAGTAGCCCGTTAAACAATGAGGTTTCTTTACCAAGATAAATTAATAAATTAGGTTTACTTAATTATTCAGTAAAACCATATGTTATATTGTGAATATTACTGTTACTTGTTCATCATAGTGTCAGTGTTTTATTCGCTAGATCTTTACACAAAGAACAACATAGTGACGAAACGCGTTTGTCCGTTCAGGGCCACCGTAGAAACATGTGGATGTGTGTGTGTAGAGAGAAATGCATCATTCTAAGCTAATAAAAACATAACGCTTCATTATGTAAGGTCTTTATACACCACTGAAAACATAGTTATGTATATGATATTGCATTTCTGTCTACAGATCCTCCTAAATATTACACACTGCACCTTTAAGAATGCAACAATAGGGCTTGGGTGTCGCGTTGCATTCTGGGACGTGGCGGCCATGTTGATGGCCTCGCGAATGTAAACATACAGCAAGTCGAACGAGGAGAAGAAGCAAAGTTGGGAGAAAGAAAAGAAATAAAAAAGATGTTAAGGGGTGGTGATGGCGCAGTGGATAAGACACATGCCTTTGGTGTGAGAGACCCGTGTTTGAATCCACTGCGAGACACCAATGTGTCCCTGAGTAAGACACTTAACCCCTAGTTGCTCCCCTCTGACATATTGAGAGTGAGGAGTCACGTGCCGATTTGGGCGGGGTCTGAGCCGGTCGGCCATGATGGTAGGAGACGCTATCGGTTGCCAGGGGCAACGCCTTCAAAACTTCACAGAGGCGCGACTAAACATTCCAGAAATAGCGAAAGAGAGACAGCGCAGCTTAGTGTTTGTTTACATTTTACCGATACGCCGCAGTTTCTTTGGAAGATATGGAGAAGGAAGAGAATTGAAAGGGGTTCTATCGGGAGAGACTAAATAACAATGCTAGCCAGCTTAGAGAAACTGCTTGTCAATAAACTGACAGCAGCAACAGCGAGCAAAGCCTGCTTTCAAAAGCAACGCATTTCAGCACAGTTCGCCTTTTATTTAACACAAACGAACGAAATTAATACTCTGTTATTCAACTAGAGTTGTTTCATTTGTTATAGATATATCTGTACCGCGAAATGTTTTAAAAAGACACTTTTTTAATGACGTACGATTCGCATTGACAGGGGAATGTCCGATCTGTTCGCTTAACGTTGCACGGCAGGTGCAAATGCACGTATCTGATTCATATCAGATTTATTTCCACATAATGAGGCCTGAATGAAACATCAAGTATGACTGAACTCTCGCAGTTTAACGTTACAGGTTTGGGGGTTTCTAAGTCTTGCACCCGCAGCCGCAACAGACTTGTTCAGCTTCTAATGACTTAAAGCTTCTGAACTCCTGCATTGTGTAGGCAGTAACGTTAGGCACTGATACCATAAACAAACCAGGTAATTAACTTTGTCAGCGTATGTGAAAGGTGGTAGTGCTTTGGTCTTTCGTCCATTCTGTAGCAGGTCGTACGGGTCCATGTTGATGTCAAGTAGTTTCTCTAAATAACGCTGCTTTGTGTTGTTATTTAGTCTCTCCCGATAGAGCCCCTTTCCTTTTGCTTCCCCCTTCTTCATTTATTCCCAAGAAACTGTGCCTTATCGCAAAAATGCAAACAAATATCAAGCTGCTCTCTCTCTCTGTCGCTATTTCTCTCGGTCTCACGGTCGAAGTAACCATGACAACGGATAGTGTATCCTACCAAGATGGCGAATCCTTCCCACAATGCAACGCGGAGTGATACGCGTGACGTCACCTTCTCATTCTCAATATAGCAATTGTAAGTCGCTTTGGATAAAAGCGTCAGCTAAATGAATAAA